AGTGGTAGTAGTGGTGGTAGTGGAATGGCATTTGCAGTGGTGGTGAAAGTGGTACAGGAGAAGAGTGATGAGTGAGAGAGACAGAGACATAGAGAGAGAGAAAGAGAGAGAGATAGAGAGAGACAAAGAGAGAAATAGATACAGAGAGAGAGAGAGAGACAGAAAAAGAGAGAGAGAGAAAGAGAGAAAGATGAGCGAGAGATAGATAAAAAGAGAGAGAAAGAGAGCGAAAAGAGATGAACGAGAGAGAGAATAGAAAAATAGAGAGATAGAGAGAGAAAAAGATAGATGAGCGAGAGAGACAGAGAGAGAAAAGAGATGAGAGAGATAGAGAGAAGATAGATGAGCGAGAGAGACAGAGAGAAAAGGCAAATGAGAGAGATAGAGAGATGAGAGATGAGCGAAAGACATACAGAGACAGACAGACAGACAAACAAACAAACAGACAGAGAAAGAAGAGTGATGAGTGAAAGAGAGAAAGAGAAGAGACAAAGACAGAGAGACAGGAAGATGAAAAAATGGGTGAAGAGATAAATGTTATATCAAAAGAGTAACACGTCGTTTTTTTTTAATATTTTTGCGACAGAAAAATACCGTTTCATTTTTTTTTTGTTACTAAAAATCAAGAACTAATTTTTTGTGGTAGAGGAGAGGGAATGGCAGTAGTGGTGAAGGTGGTGGATAAGAGGTGGTGGTGGTGGTGGTGGTGGTGATGGCGATGTCGAAGGAGATTAGTGGTGAAGTTATGGTAGTGGTAGAGGAGATGGAGTGGCGGTGGTGGAGGAAAGGTAATGGTAGTAGTAGTGGTAATAGTGGTAGTGGAATGGTGGCGATGGTGGTAGTAATAGTAGTCATAGAGGTAGAGTGGCAACAACGGTAGTAGTGGTGGTAGTGGAATGGCATTTGCAGTAGTGGTAAATGTGGTAGAGGAGATGGGTGGTGAGAGAGAGAGATAAGTGAGAGACAGATAGAGAAGAGAGATGGAGAGACAGAGAAAGAGACAGAGTAATGAGTGAGAAAGAGACAAAGTGGTCGCTAAAAGTGGATTTTCTTGTAGTGGATCGATAAATCGAAAGGGAGCTCAATAAATAACGAAGAAATGAGGGAGAGAGTGAGCAAGGTGAACACAGTGAGGGAGAGAGACAGACAGACAGACAGACAAATAGACAGGCAGACAGAGAGAGAGAAGAGTGATGAGTGAGAGACAAAGAGAAACAAAGAGAGAAAGAGAGAGAGAGAGAGAGAGAGAGAGAGAGAGAGACGGAAAAAGAGAGAGAAACAAGAGGTGTGCAAGAGATAAACAAAAAGAGAGAGAGAAAGAAAGCGAAAAGAGATTAACGAGAGAGAGACATAGAAAAAAAAAGAGACAGAGAGAAGAACGAGAGAGAGAGAGAGAGAGAGAGAAAAAAAGAAAGAAACAAAAGATGAGCGAGAGATAGACAGAGAGAGAGAGAGAGAGAGAGAGAAAAAAATATAAATAGCAGGGCAGCCCCCAGAAAAAAAGGGGACTCAGATCATACAAATCAGTCATTTACTTCATATATTTTCTTTTCCAGTCTTTTACATTTCCAGTCTTTAAATACCTGTTCTTTAAATACCTGCACTTCAAATACCCGCACTGCACTTCGATTCGTAGGAGTAGCTTCTAGTAGATTCAAGTAGATTGCTGTTGTAAACCTCTCTGAGGCTGAGTTCGGACCATTGTAAGTGTTCATCTTTATGAAGTACTTCAATTGTTCTTCATATTACTGTTATTTCTATTAACTTCTCCTAAGTCAAGCCACCAGTAAAAGTGCTCTTCATTGAGGCTGAAAAGAACTAAAACACAATCGTCTGATAATTGGTTGGCAATCACAATTTCTGTAAGGTCTGATTGATCCTTGCTGGCACGCTCACATTTACAAAAATACCCTTCGAAAAGCCAAAAAGCCAACACAGACCATAGCAAATAATGAAGAAATTAGTAAGCTTTTTGGGTTGTTAAAAGTGAAATCCAAATTCTATTCTACCAACCCAATTTCATTAGATCCAAACGCTTGTAATAGGCTTGGTAAAAAAAAATGACTTTTTTTTTTCTTTTCTGAGTTGCATATAAAATTTAAATGTGATTTAGAGACCAATATTTAGGGACTAATTGAATTTGGTCTCTAAAAACTAACATTTAGTGACAAAAATAAAATTTTAAAAAAAACTATACAAACACACTATATTCTCTCATGATATCTGATAGACAAAAATATATATATATATATATATATCAACCCCGCTAGGTAGCTCGAATAAGTGAGACTCGAATGGCTCAAAATCACACTTCAACTCTTCTGCTCTGCTCAATTGAACCCACACATTTCATTTCAAAAAAGAAGAAGAAAAGAATAGAGAGTAGAGAGAGAGGAGCACTGACTCGATAACCTAGCCAAACAGTGAGAGGAGCACCGACTAGGTAACAAAGAGTAGAGAGAGGAACCGACCTGTGTGCCGCCATTGAGCAACCGATCTGGGTGTCGCTCCTGACTAGGGTGCCGCTCCTGCTGTGTGTGCCGCTACTGCTGTTTGATCGGAGTGGAAGAAGAGGAGTTTTGTGTGCCGTTGCTTCTGTTTGATCGGAGTCTTCACTGACTTCTGGATAAGGTATTTTTTTCCCCCTTGTTTCATTGCTTTTCTATCCACTAACTGATGCGTTCATCCCAAATAACAATAAAAATTGCCATAGCCCCTAACTGATGCATTCATCCCAAATAACAAAATCTTCAAAATTCAAGCCTTTGGTTCTTTTTTTCCCTTCAAATGGAGCAAAATGGAAGGAAACAATTTTATAGGCCATGTCTCACTTGCAAGAATTTTAAGGAAAATAAAAAAGAAAAGTAACACACAAAAAAATCCCCAAAAATCACAAACACACAACAAAATTGGCCAAATTAGTCTGAAATATAAGTGTAAAAATAAACCTCTAAAGAGATGAATAATTATAGAAAAACTGTGAAACTTAAATTGAGTTTCTTTGTGTTGTTCTTGTCGTTTTGAACAATTTGTAATGTTCTTGTTTGCTTCCTTGTAATGTTGGTCGTTGTGTGATAAGAATGGTGGAGGCCATTAGTGTTTTGTCCACTAACTCTTTGAATGTCTATTCTATTTCACTTTAAAGCTACAATGGATATTGATTCAAATAATAATTCATTCAATGGAAGTGAGACAGTTGAAGAATAGGATAACAATCTTTCATTTAATGAGAGTGGTGAAGTTGAAGAACCTAAGAAGGACATGTATTTTACCTCAAAGCAAGAAGTGTACGCATTTTATGCAAAATATGTGTAACACCTTGGATTTGCTATAGCTTATAGAACACAAAATGTAACAAGTGATGGGAAAGTAAAATACTTTGGAATTAAATGTACTCGGGCACAAAACAGAACAAAAAGATCAGAAATAAATCTCCTGGAACCATCTTTGTCATCAAAAATTGATTGTAAAGCAAGGGTAAGAGCCAGTCTACAAAAGGATGGAATATATAAGTTAACCACAGTTGTGCTTGAGCCAATCTGCAGAAGGTGCCGCAAGATCAACCTTACTATTTTCCTTGTATGGATGGCACACAAGACAGTATGTATGTACCGGTATGTTTTGAACGGACTTAATATATTGTACTTTGTTTCTTGTGGGTTTTTATTTTAATGCTTGAAATTACTAATGAAATTGTGTTACTATTTGATCATAAGGTGCCGCAAACTCAACCTTACTATTTTCCTTGTGTGGATGGCACACAAAACAGTATGTATGTACCGGTACATGTTCAATATATGACTACACATATTTTAATGATGAATTAAATTTTAGATTGGTCAATATGTTTGTGGACAATATTTGTAATATTTACTTTGTTCTTATAGGCACGGGTTAGCCCAATGCAACTGGCTGACAATATTGGAAGCATGTCTCATACTCAATCAGGAATGGTCAACAATACAAGCAGTCAAAGTTCGCCAGTAGCATCAAAATTTGTTGACTTGAATATAGATACGGATCCAAATGCCCCATTTTTTTATTTTTTTTTTATTTTTTTGGTTTCGTACTAGTAATTATATGACATTCGTATGTAAACTTCAGATAGTTTGGTTTTATTTCGTTTGGATACATTTCGTGACATTTGTTGTTGGCTTCATTTGTCAACGTTGGTTTGAGGAGTTGTTCTCTGTAAAAGTTTTGCTCAAGTTTGATATTTGGGATTTTGGTTTGATCCTCTATTGTGCAAACAAGGCTCAATCCATAACTTCTCTATGTCTTTTTTCTTGTGAACTTATTGTGTTTATGTCTTTTGCACTAGAAATTAGTTTGGCTCTTGGGCTGAAGATGGTTGTCCATTTTGGGGTAATTTTAATGTTTGTACAAATCTATGAATCTTAAATAGCAAAGGCAGCCATTAAAATCATTGTGGTTGATGTTTGGAATGTCAAATTAAAACTCAGATCAGAATAAGATTAAAGTGATGTGAATTTCAGATTATGAGTGAGCCATGGTATGGTTTTATTTTCAAAACTATGACCTTCTTTCATGTAAACAACGTACATTATGAAATGTAGAAATCAGAACTACACAAGTTTGATGAAGTGTTTTCTAACACTGCCCAAATCTTCATTGGGACAAAAACCACAAAAATCAGCAAGTATTGCTCCATGTATTAGTAGATGACATTTGCTAATTTGAAATCAAGTAACATTCTGTTTGTTGCAAGTTTTAGAAACAGCAAAACCTAGGTATAGTAATGTACAAAATCAATTCAATAAAAAAATTGAATAAAAAAAAAATCTAATCCCAAATTAATAAATAACCAATCAAAAGTTACTAATAACATTCATGAAATTCCCAATCCACATTCATTAGTAGCCTATGAAAGCTCACAATCCAAGCTTATCCACATAGACAACACAAAACATACAGAACAGGTTCTCATGAAATTCCCCAAAACCTAACAACTCGGTCATTTACATGACTAAGTACAAAAAGATACAAAATACAAACAAGTTTTTTATTACATTCATGAAATTCGCTAGAACGATAGAAAGTTAGTCATGTACATGATAAAGTGCAAAATGACAAAAAAAAAACAATGACATAAATCATTGCCTTGAAGTTCTTCTCCATCCTTTGAAGTCTTCTATCATGCTCATGAATTTCATTGTCCATCTCACAAAGCCTTGTCCTTAGATCGTTTAATTCTTCTGTTCTTATAGCTTTCCGAGGTCCAATATTGGAACGGATTATGGAACTAGTGTCGTCGTCGTCGTCATCTGCGAATTTGAAGTAATTACAATGTTCCTTATGACTTTACAATGCACAAGAATTAGTTAATCAAATCACAGAAATAACTTTGTACGTAGTAAAAGATCAATTTCTATAATAGATACTTACATATTTCGATGGGCAAACAAAGAACAAACGTCCTTGGTTTCCATTCTCATTCATTCGTACAATATGCATCATCGTTGTTCTCCCACAATTACACAATCTTGGTTTTAATCTTATGTTGCTATTATTAGTAGAAGAAGAAGCCATAGAAGTGTAATTTGCATACAGAATACGAAAGGCATTTCAATTTCTTCCTAATTATTAGCAAGTTCCACAGTGAGATAGATCCAACTACAATGATTGGGCAATTTTAGTTTCATCTAAATTGTTATGCTTTCTAAGCCATAAAATGCATAAGCCTATATCAGATGGTGCATGTATGAGGGTATCAATTATCTCAATTAATTGGACCAGCAAATGCTAGTGTTCTTAGTGAAAAAGAAAAGGCTAATCTCTCAAGCAGTTAGTAGCTCAATCTGACTCGCCAGTTATCGTTGCCCAAACATCCAATTACTAAACAATATTCAAGTTACTCTTCCAAGTTACTCTTCCAGTTATCATCGCCCAAACATCCAATTACTAAAGCATGTTTCAACACAGATTTTAATTCCACAACAGATTACAGATTTCAAGCAAAACCAAACACACGTATTTTCAACAACAGATTTCCATATTTTAGATGCACAAATTTTAGAGGTTCCAGATTTCAAATCAAAGTCAAAATAAAAATCATAAACAAGCAATCTTCGGATTTATACAGAGGATAACTACCATCCCAAACCCATTCACCATCAAACACATCACAAATTAAAGGCAAATCCCAAACCCTAACACAAATTGAAAGCAAAATTCAAACCCAAACAGTTACAATCGACTAATTTCTACAGAAATTGACGCCAAAACATAAACCCTAGTTTTGCAATTTTAGGTTTACCTTGAATTCCTTTTTCTTCTCGTAGGTAATGAGGACTTTCCGGCACCGGTAGGTAAAGAGTTTTTTTTCTGTATTTCGTCATCCGTCGTTCGCCGTCATTCGTCCTCCTTCGCACTCAGAGAACGATCAAAGGGAGGTTTAACAGAAATGAGAGGGATGAGAGAGATCTGGGATGAGACGGATCTGGGGGATGAGCGGGAACAGAGGTGAGAGTGTTTGAATGCATTTCGTTTCGAGAATAGAGATAGAGAGGAGAGGAGAAAAGAGGAGAGGAAAGGAAAGAGATAGAGAGGAAAGAGAAAATGGTACTTTTCGGGCCACTCGAGTCTCAATCGAGCTACGAAGCATTTTTCTATATGTAGAGACTTTTAGGAACCAAAAAAGTTGAAGTTTTCTCACGTAAGTGGAGACCAATTAAGTTGGTTGCCAAATGTGGAAAGACCATTAGAGACTAAGGCCCTGTTTGTTTGGGGTTATAGGGAGGGGATTGAGATTGATAGTGAGGTGGGACTACTATATGGAGTGTTTGTTTTGAGAGATGGGGAGGGGACTCCTAGTCCCTTGGTATTAGTAAAGGCCTTGGAAGGGGGATTGAGATAGAGGAGGTAGAGATGGTATTAGAAAAATAGTGAGGGGATTAGAAATTTTTTATTTTTTATATATTGGAAATTTTTTTTAAAATATTAATGTTTAATTTTTTATATTTTTTTATTTGTTTTATTATTTTATATAAAAATAATTTAACAATTCCTACACTAACAACTATCATCAAAACAAACACAATTTTATTTAATCCTCTCATTATGAATCTCCTCACTATGAATCCCCTCTATTCTACCTCTGAAAATAAACGGGGCCTAAATCTCAGCTGTGCACAGGTGAGATTTTTTACTATTTTTAAATGTGGAGGGGCGGGGTAAACTGCTCCAAGGTAATACCACAAGTGAGTAAAATAGATTTTGCCCTTTAAATAATTGTAAGATAAAACGTATCATAAAAAACAAATTCTTCTCACAAACTTTAATGAAAAGCATCAAAGCTCTTTAATGCTCTTCTTCATTGCAATTTTGCTTTTAAATTTGAGAGCAATTTTTCAATTTTCAAAACTTTTTTCAATGTTGAGGTCAATTTGCTTTAATTATACTAATTACCATTTAAATATTTTTTAAAAAAAGAAAACAATTTGCATTGACTAGAAAAAAAAGAATAAAAAAAAAAGAATGACCCCATTGGATAAAAATCCTGGAGCCACCACTGTTTGGTTGATGATACAAAGTGACAATGTCTAGTTTCCTAAGGTTCTAAGCAGCGTTGGTGTAGGGGAATGTCCATGGTGAAATTTTGATTCTCTTTTTGTCTTTAGATCTTGGATTTATGGAGATAAAGTGAATGATTTTTCCAAGATCCAAGCACAACATTAGCCAATATAACAGCTTAGCTAAACAGGAATGATATTTGTGACTAGATATTTTGCCATTTTATTTTCATTTCCATTGTGTATCTAAAATGGGATTGTTAAGGCTCTCATAAGTTGGGAAACTCAAACTCAAATGTACATGCCATCGAGTTAAGTATTTTATTACCTTCAGAGCTCAAGACCGGTTCTATACCTAATATGAAACCAACATATATTATAAAAAATTAAGGTTTTAGAGATTAAAATTTAGGGATAAAATTATTTTTTAGAGACCAAATAGTTTTGTTACGAAAAGTGTCGTTATTATATTTTTAGTAACAAAAATTGGACATTAGTGATGAATTATTATCCGTTTGAGACCAAATTTTTTGTCTCGAAAAATAAAGTATTTTGAGACCAAATTATTTGTCCCTAATAGTCTATTTATTAGTGACATTTTTAAAATTTTGTCGCTAAAAGTCTTATTTTTGACTTTTCAAGATGACCTTTTAGTGACTATCCTCATGAAAATGGAAATTGGTCTCTAAATGTCTTTTGCAGCAAAATTTTTACTTTTAGAACCCAATACATTTGATCTCTAATGCTGTGTTTGGTTGGGAGATTTGGGGAGGAATTTGGAAAGGGAAAGGGAAAGGGAAAAGGCGTGTGAAACTAAGTGAAATGTAAGTATATTTTATTCATATTTCACCTAACTTTTACCTTTCCCTTTCTAAATCCCTCCTCAAATCCTCCAACCAAACACAGCGTAAGACAAGCTCTGCTACCACCGTTGTTCACCTCCTCCGGTGAGACTCTTGCTACTTCTTCTCTACTGCTGTCGTTCGTCTGACTTCGGCGAACTCAACATCGGCTTTCTTTTTCTGGTAAGTCATTGTTCCTCCTGGTTTCAGTTTCTTGTTCCTTTTCAAGAAGTTTCGCTTCATTTATCTGTTGTTGCTGCTGTTTTTGCTCAAGTATCTCATTTACGAATCATATATTGGAGCACATTTATCTTACGCTTTTGTTTCTGCCCATTTTATGTCTCAAATTCACACTGTTCATACATTTGTTGACTGTTGCCACTGTTCTTAGCCTGTTACACCTGTCTTGTGTTTCTTTGATGATCCTTCATTGTTCTTGACTCTGAATCGCATTACCTGTTTTTGTTTTCTTGTGACTTTTCCAGATTCGTGCCTTTGATCTTCGTTTTCATAGATCTAGGTTTGGGGATTTGTTTGTAGAACCCACAAATTCTTAGAAAAAACCGAAAACGATCCCCACAATTATAACAACCCTCACTTCAACATAGTCATACTTGCATACATTTATGTATGATCTTGCTTTGTTATGTGCATTTGCAAATCTTGTCTTGTTTTGCTCGAATGTTGCTTGCATGCTTTGTTCTGCCTAGTGTGTTGCCGAGGTTATCTTGAGCCTAGACACCTTGGAACCTTTCCACACTTAGAACTATCTTGGAACCCCTTCGGTTGACCTCCATCTTCACCCTAGCATATTGGCCGAAATGTCACTATCTAGGCCGAGGTGCGCGTCGCCTAGGCCGAGATGTGCATCATCTAGGCCGAGGTGTTAATATCTAGGCGTTCTAGATCCTTGATCCTTGCACTAGCGATTTTGTTCCTGGAATGGTATGACCTAGACCGAAGTGTGGCATATCTAGGTCAGGGTGTGGCACAGCTTAGTCAAGTGTTGTCCTTCCAAGCCGATGTCCTTGCCACTTGCTTGCCGGAGTCTTGTTGTTAGCCAATGTCGTTACTTGCCGGAGTGCTCTTGCCATCTAGCTTGTTGAATACACTTTGTCATGGTCTTGTCTTATCAGTCAGTCACCTTTTCGAGTAGAGCCAACCAGCCGATGCTACATGTCCCAGCAGAGGGATTAGGTCAGTGACTGTCGAGAGAAACATATCATTTTGTATCAAATCTTGCTTTTAGAGAGAGAAACTCTAGGAAGAAAGAAGAGAAGTTTTGAGTGAGAGAGTGAACTTCCAAGCTTGATCGTTGGAGCTCGAACTGTTAGATTCGAGTTTTGAGGTTAGAATCTTAACCTACTCTTGTTGTTCTTATTGATCATCTAGCTGCATTGCACGATCGAACCTGTTCTGCACGTCATGCATTGATTTAAAGTTTGTTTTAGAAAGAGAAAATGGTTTTCATGTGTTCTTGAAGAAAAGCCTAGTTTGATCCGAAAGTTTGCATTTAGAACCATGTTTTTGTGTTTGTTCTCTCAAGATCTTTGAATATGGGTACCCAGGTCCATGATTTCGGATTCTTAGCATGAAATCTCAGATTTTGTAATAGCAAGTTTTAATCTTTGCATTCATCTTCCTCATGTTCATGTTCTTCATGTTCGTCATGTTCTTCAAAAGAGGGAAACCCAGATTTTCCCGACTCCATTTCCTTAACTGTGGCCATCGAGGCCACACCTCGGCAAGGAGGTGTGGGACCTCGGCCTAGACCTGGTAGTTACCCAGCATGTTTTCCAGAGATAAGAAACGGTGTTTTGATTTTGATTTGACTTAGTTTTGTAGAATGCCGAAGTCATTTGCATGCATGCAAGACTTGTTTTGAGAAGTGCATTCAACAGACTTTGCCATGTGTTTGTAGGACTTGGACTTGCCTTGACCCCAATGTTTGAAGAACTATGTGAGTGGTATTTTTAATAAAGCTATGTTATATGTTTTGATAAAGACTTTGCTTTGCTTTGTTTTGAAAGTATTTGTTAAGCATGATTGATTGTCCCTATTTTGTATATCAAGTATTATCTTGCTTTGATGACCTCCTCAAAAAGTCCTTAGTGCCAGGGGACTATAATGCAACTGCACATCTTGTTTGAAAGTCCCTTGTGCTGGAGGACTCTAAACTTTCGCAGTACTCTCGTGTTAAAGGGCTACGAGCCTTTGTAACATAGGCCCCTTGTGCTAGAGGACTCTAAACTTTTGTAGCATCCTTGTTTGAGATATCTCTCTTGCTTTGTCTTGTTTTGCCACTGACGGTTTACCGTGTGGAATTGTTGCCGGAATGTTATCATTTGTAATATGTTGATGCTGGTAAGCATCCCTTGGAGCTTTGAGGATTTGTCAGATGGACGAGGTCCATCCCTTGTTATATAAAGTTTTGACATGTATTGTTTTGAAAGGATTTCGGCTATTATTCATGCTAACCCTTTATTAGTTGTACCATTCACTGAGTATCCAAGCTCACCTTCTCTATATATATGTAGGTGATGAGCAAGAAGGCGGCGATGCCTAGATGTGATTCGTGAGCTTGTTTTGGATTTTTGTCATGCCGGCTTGACTTGTAGTTATGTCGGCAGTCTTGAAAATCATGCTTCTCGACTTGTAATATTTGTATTTCGTACACGTCAGCTTGAGAAGCCTTTTGATCAAGATGTGTGTTTTGTATGTATGTTATGTCGGCAACGAGGATGTTGGCAATCTGGCAGACTATGTTCCTTGACCTGTAGTTCGTGCATTTTGTTTATGTCGGCTTGTGAAGCCCTTTGCTAAAATGTAATATGTATTTTTGTACTTTATTTTATTTGTATTCAAGTTGTAAAGCTATGTAAAGATGTATGCCATTTCATTTGAATTATGCACAGCTCTCATGGACTATTCTAATTGTATATATATTGCTTCCGCACTTGTAAGCCCCATATATTATACTCTGGTTGTGTGTGAATCTTGAAAGTTGGCCTTCGGTAATCTCGGATTACTGGCCATCATGGCACTAAACTACTAGGGGCGGTTTAGGGTCGTGACAACAATTTCTTACCCCACAAATTTTTAGGTTTTTGCCGAGGTCCCAATAACCCTTTTAAAACACCTTCATTCTGAAACCCAGTTCCTCCTAGTTAAGCCGATATCATGGGTATGTGGAAGCATAGAGTAGACACCCCGACCAAGTTAG